GGTTGAACTGTTCTGGAACAGTGTTGTAAATACAACTTAACCACTGATTTCTAGTTCTGTCCTCTTTTGGAAGACCAAACAAAGTAGTTTCGCTTTCACAACGAAACACACAGCGACTCCACAACATGGCAGTGGCGGCAACAGCAAGAATTAAAGTTACGCCTTCTTTTTTTGCATGAACACTTAGGCGGCATTATGCAAATCTTCTCACATCGTGATGTAGACATGTGGGGGCGTGTTAGAACGAGCTGTTTTAGGTAGGTGTGGTTGACTCTTAACTTTTATAAAGAATATCTCTTTGGATTTGAGACTTTAGTCTTTGCAACTTTACAGATCTTCTTTATGCCCCAAGAGCTTGTAACACTCCAAAGAGAAAGGAAAAATTTAAATCGCATCATATGACTCCTTAAATTTTTTTATTACTATTTATAATCTATCAGATTTAAATTACATTTTCAGTTCCAGGTTTGAAATGTAGACAGTGAATTAAATTGTATCACACACATTTTTTTATGTCTTTTATTTTTATAAATTTAATGCAGAATTAATGACTTTATGTAGACTTTCGTTAATAAAAACACAACATTTGTTTTGGGAGTTCAAAATAGTTGCTTGTCTAAATTGTCATGTATTTTTACTTTCCATGTCTGTTCATAAATGTTGTGCACTGTTCCAAACTATAATTATAGCTACTCAATTATAAACGCTGTCATAATGTAATGTTTTTGTGTTCTTTGTGTCCATAGCAGTGTGTTTCTGTGTCCTCTTTGTAGCTGAACTGCGTATAATTATGATTCTCAGACTCATTGTGCATTTCCTGTTTCAGAAACCATATGCGTGTCAGATCCCAGGCTGCACTAAACGCTATACAGACCCCAGTTCCCTCCGCAAGCATGTGAAGATCCACTCCGCCAAAGAGCAGCAGGTGCGTAGGAAGGTAAGGGTAAAAACGTAATATCTCTCTCTCTCTCTTTTAGAATTGTCTCTGTTCAAATCATCTCATCAGCACATCAGAGTACAATTAGCTTTTTGGCTCTTGCCATCAGCCTTGAGAAACATTTCTAGCAGATATTTTTCATGGTCAATTGTGTCTTTTTCACGGCTTGATGCAGTTGGTTCTACTTAGGTTTGTCTTTGAAAATCATTTCCCCAACAATAGATCAACTCTGACCACATTTCAGCATCTACATTGTGAAGAGTGCATTCCTCATTAAAGTGGGTAATTATAAGCAGAATGGCCTCATTGTTGCACTGGTCTAAACGACAGCTGACTGATGCGTTCTTCTTGCTTGCCGTTGTAAGCGGAAACACATGTGAGCGTGTACCATTGTTAATAAGCTGTGCAGCGCTATACCCCAGTGGCCAGATGTTGTGAGCTGATGTCAAACAAACACTCCCACTCCATCTATCGCGAGCGACGCCTGTTATAGCACGCTGCGAATGGCTGGGACGATTTCAACCAAGATCTCAAATGAAAAACGTGCGGTTTGTGCTCTTTTGCCAGTTTGCGTGTAATTAAAATGTGTTTGTGTTATATCTAATTCACAAGTTTGTGAGCTTTTATTTTGAAAATTTTAATTGCAGTGGAATTAAAATAATATAACACGTTCAAGTTGCATGTCATGGCTCATTTCGCCTGTTGTTTATTGCGAGGAATCGTCTCCAGATTCAGTCCACTCATCACGAATTCATGTGACCGAAGATAATTTTCCAGTTAAACATAATTCCATGCTACAATCCGAGCTTTCAAAGTCAGTCTAAAAGTCCTAAACACATATGACTCCCCAAACTCTAAACAAATGTCGCATATAACGCATGATTACTGCCAGACCTTGAGAAGGGAAAAATCAGCCTTGCAATCTAATCTCACCAGCAAAAGATACCCCTCCACCTCTCTGTAGCTGGTAGAGTGGCGTCCCAACCTGTACTCGGGGCGATGTGTATGTTGGGGTATGTCTTTCCCCTCATCCCCTCATGTTTCCAATCAAAGGTTCCTGTTTGCGGTGAAAAATCGTTCCTCTCTAAGCTTGTCATTTCCTTTGCTGGCTGGTGTGGGATGTCACCACTGACTGATGTGTTTTTTTAGTATTATTATTATTTAAGACTTTTGTTTGGGCCCAGTTCATTTCATACAAGTGCGACTCTTTTCATTTCTTCTTTCACACTATCACACTCTGGAACAGACGTTCCACATGTTTTTAATGTGCATTCCTCCTTTCAACATTCTATTTTTATTGCTTAGTCTTTTAATTGCTTATATTTTTTATTGACAGCTAAGGGCCTGCCCCCATTTAGAATCAGAAGCTCTGAGCGAATGTTTGTCAATCCAGCATCTTCATGGCCCCGCCCCTTCCCAGCATCCACACTGTCCTGCCACCGCATTCAGGCTTCAAAAAGGACGTGAAAGCACCATTAAAGTATCATAAATGTGATCCATGTGACTATATTCTGGTCTTCTGAAACCAGATGATGTTTTTTTTTGAGAAACAGACTGAAATGTACGTTTTTATTTACTGATAAACGCAACATGTAAAATCAACCATCTTCCCAAACCTATAAGAAATATATTGTAATAATAATAATTATTATTATTATTATTATTTTTCTATTATTTAATTATGTGATGTATTATTATTTTTATTTAATAATAACAACAACAAAATAATAATAATTATGATTATGATTAATTAATAATTATTATTACTACTAAATAAAATATCAAACAAAAATAATAGACAATCTTATTATTTTATTGTCATTTTGTTATATAGTCAAAAGTTGTGCATATCTACAAACAAGCACAGCATACGTATACGATTTTTATCACATTTTAAAATGCAATTCATGTCAGAAGAATCACAATTCCATTTTTTTCTCCAAATTGTACAGCCTTACCTCCAGAGAGTTGTTAGCCACAGTTGTCAGTGATTATTGACATGAATTTCAGTCTGTTTCTCACACATCATGTCTAAAACACAGCATATTTGACCATCTTTACTATGCCTTTGCTTTTTTTCCCCAGCATGTTTTAGTCTCTTTAATTGTAATTGCACAGAAAGTCTTCAAAATTTCATTTTTAGAATTCTGTGGAAGAACGTTTGTTGTACAGGTTTTGAATGACATGAGCGTAAATGAGAGAATTTAGATTTTTGTGTGAACTATTCCTTTAAGAGCAGAAATTCAGGCAAGAGAAAGGTAGAACAGACCCTAAATGTCCGTGTGAGAGTAATTTGAAGGACAATTGCAGAACTCCCCATCATTAAAGCATCCTTGTACAAAACACACTTTGCAGTGCAACAGCTTAAATCACCGCCAACGTGTGCCAGGGAAAAATAGACATCCTGGCTTGCACCGTCTCTCTCATTCGCTCGGTTCAAAGGGGATAAGTTGTTGCTTCAATGTGCAAATGTCTTTAGCCTGAAGGACCTGTTATGTTACTGTGGCTGTTTGTTCTTGTTTAGAGGAGAAGTTGTGGTTGGGTCTGGCCAAGATGCCTGCATTTAATGTTCCTGATGTTTCTACCTCTCCCTATGCTTTGTTCCGGGGCCAGTAGAAAAAGTAAAGCAAAGTGGAGTGGTACCTCTGTCATTTTGTAATTTGCACGTATAAAGTGCATTCTAGTCCTCTGTTGTGTCTTTGTGTAGGTTTGCGTTTGGTTGCTCCATACAATTTTATGCAATTTCTGTGGCTGCTTGAACGTATGCTAATCATGCCATAATTATATGCTGTGAGAAGGTTGGTTATGGATTCTTCAACACTAACAATCGCATCCAAAATAAAAGTTTTTGTTTACATAATATATGTATGTGTGCTGTGTATATTTATTATTTATATATAAATACACACACATGCATGTACAGTATGTATTTCAGATAAATATGTCATGTTTATATATTAAATATGTTTATTTATAATATAAATTATATTAATATAAATATAGACATGGAAACACATGTAAATATTTTCAAAATATATACTGTATGTGTGTGTATATACATAATAAATATACACAGAACACGCACATATATTATGCAAGCAAAAACTACTGTTATTTCCATTATAAACTGCGGATGAAGTTGATGCGTCCGCTGTTTTTCGCTTCAAGGTTATGTGTCCTTGGCTAAAGATCCAGCCTACCTGTTCCTTTCATTTCAATACAAGTAGCTTCAAGTAGATCTGTCTCTACTTATTAGTTCTGCCATTCCATTAAAATTGAACCGATCTCTCAAAGATGTTACGTTCAAAACAGCAACAGTCAATCAAATCCATTCCGCACGGCAACATCAATCATGTACAGTAAATTGCTAACAGCACAGAACAGGAACATTTCATTTCATCCAAAAGGGCCGTGGTTGTCATCCAAAAGGGAGTTTGTGTTGTCATAACAAGTGCTTGTTGCCATTAAGGGCTGTTTTGTGGAGATTTAATTTGGTCAATGTGCCGTTCTTGAGGGCTCCTTGAGGTTTATCAAGCATGTTTTGCGCATTAGTTTTGTTTGTCTTCCAGGCCTGTACGCCGGCTCCAGCACGACACACAATGGAGCCCCACTTGAGTTGCTCTCTTCTGGACCTGACCTGCCCCCCAGGCAGCCCCGCCTGGACCGCGACATTGGCAGCCCCCACCATCTCTCCCCGCTGTCTGGCCTCGAGAACACCCGAGAAGGGTGAGTACCTAACCCTCCGAGCGTCACGTTTACTCCCAGTTGCTCTGACATACACGCAGGGTGGATAAGATCAGTGTAGATGACGTCAGAATGGATGAAGGTTGTCATCACAGTAACAGATATCACTGTAGGCATAGTTACACACACTGTTATATCTCTAAAAGATATCTCCTTTTGACCAAAGTTGGCATTTCATGGATCCTTTGAGGAAAAGGCAATCCCACCCTGCATTGCGATATGCTCTGTGAACAATCTGAGATGTCTGACGAAATGAGAAATTAATGATGATGAAATGTTGTACTTTAGTCTAATTAAAAAGTAATTATATAATGATTCACTCAGTAGTCACTTGTTTCATCCTGAATGAATCATTGTTTCAGTGAATCAGTTGAGTGAATTTGACTCACTCATAATGACAATCAGTTGTTTCTCTCTGGGAAAAATCAGTGGCTGAATTCAGAAGAGCACACTAGCACACTACTCTAACTGTTTTTGCCATTAAACATATAGCACAAACACTGAATAGAATGCTGAATTAAGCCATTGTTTTTGAATGAATCATTAAGTTAATGATTCATTGGTTCACTCTTAAAGATAGACTTGTTTCAATCTAGCATGAATAAGTGGTTTTGAACTAGTCACTGAGTAAATTATTTATTGACTCACTTCTAAAGATTTTCACTTGTTTCATTCCTGAATGAATCTGTGTTTCGGAATGAATCGTTTGAATCATTTATAAAGCCAGGGTCACTTTTTTCTTTTGGAATGAATCAGTGGCTGAATACAGAATAGGATACTAGCATACAACAACTCTTACTATTTTTGCCATATAAAGACATAGTTCAAATAGTACAAATAGTAGTAGTATGCTAGTATGCTTTTCTGAATGCATCTACTGTTTTGGATCAATTTCTGAATAAATCAGATTGCCGGTGTTGCATACCGGTCACTGCACCTAAATAATACCTATAGGGTCCTGCTTAAAGGGATGTAGTAGTCAGCCTAAGATGCCTGTCAGTTAATACAAACAATTGTCCAACCGCATGGCGGTAGGTTGCTTTGTGAGAGTGGAAACTCTAAATGGAAATAAATGGATTATACTTAACTGAAGCATATTGACTGGATGGATACTGGCTGGCACAGCCCTAGTACAAATACTAAGTAGTATGCTGAATTATGTTTTTGAATGAATCGGTAATGATTCATTGATTTCAGTCTGGCATGAATTAGTCATTTTGAATTAATCATTGAGTAAATTATTAATAGACTCACGAAGATTTTCACTTGTTTCATTCCTGAATGAATGCATGTTTTTGAATGATTCATTTGAATAAATACGGGTCACTTTTTTCTTTCTGGAATGAATCCGTGGCTGAATTCAGAATATAATGCTAGCATAAAATCTTACAATTTTTTCCATATAAAGATATAATACAAATAGTAAGTAGGTCACTAGTATGTGTTTTTTTCTGAATTCAGACATGATTTATGTTTTTGATAAATTCCTGAATAAATCAGTAATTTGAATGAGTCATTGAGTAAATGATTAATTGACTCGCTCATAACTTTTTCTGGTATAAATCAGTGTTTTGAACTAAATGGTTGAAGGAATGATTTACTGACTCACTCATAAAGACAGTCACTTCTTTCAATCCTGAATGAATCTGTTTTAGAATGAATCAGATGTGTTGATTCATTGACTGGCTTGTAAAGACAATCATTTGTCGCCACTTACTGGTATAACAATGTAACTAGCAGAAAGAGTCTCTGAAAAATACACCTGAATAATAACCAGCTATTAAAAAAAAAAAATCTAATAACTGCGAAATGCACATGTGTGCTTTTTGATGTCATCAAATTGCTTCGGAATAACTAATCACATCCGGGATCTTGTTACTATTGCAATGCTGCAAGGTTTTTCTCATAACAGATTTTCTTTGGTAATGTGTGCTGTCTAATGTGTTTTTCACTGTGTTTAGGAACCATATTGATTTAGGGGCCTGGATTTATTTACCATCCAAAGCACCACCGGCAGATTTTTCCCTTGTCCATACAGAGCGTTTGTTTTCATTGTAACACGCTCCTAAAACACACACCCTATGATGCATTTGATGCGTGCGGCTGTGCTCTTCCCTTGCTCTGGCTTCAGTGTGTATTTATCCAGCAAATCTAGATTAAACCAATGTCACCCTAACACAACATAAACCAACTCTGTGCTCTTGGCTTCAGTTTGGAGGTGTCAGTGCTGTGTAATTAAAGCAGGACCGTGTTCCCAAAAAAGATTTTCGAGTACACCTCTGTTACTCTCTGTCCTCAACACTCTTAAAAATAAATGTGCTTCACGATGCCATAGAATAACCTTTTTGTCTAAATGGTTCCATAAAGAACCTTTAACATCTGAAGAGCCTTTCGGTGTCACGAAAGGTTCTTTGTGGCGAAAGAAGGTTCTTCAGATTATAAAAAGGTAAGAAAGAGATGGTTCTTTAAAGAACCTTTGACTGAATGGTTCTTTGTAGAACCAGAAATGGCTCTTCTATGGCATCGCTGTGAAGAACCTTTTAAGTACCTTTATTTTTAAGAGTGCAGCTGTGTTTAGTGTTCTGGAACACTCAGAGGACGAATACAATGAAGCCTAATATGTCCCTAACAGAACTGAGGCATGTTTCCCATTAAAAACCATGATTTCCCTCTGGACCAGCCAAGTCCAGAGCTGCAAATCCAATGTGTCATCAAGACGTGCAATGTGTATAGTGACAAACAGAGATGCTGGAAGTGAGAAAGAGAAAAGGAGAAAAAAAATAGAACAGATCTGTTCTTTCAAAGCATCTGATTTAAATGGGATTTTTCTGTTCTTTATCATAGTTAAACAAAAGCAAAAGTGCAGTGTTAAGTAAATTAACTAATTTCACCCACATCTTAGAACAGAAACTTATTCAAGAGCTTGTAAACAACATGGCCCTATTGAAACAATAATGAGCTATACTCTTATTCTTTTTCTCTTCCTGTTTGCTCAACTGGTTGAGCATCGTGCTAACAACGCCAAGGTTGTGGGTTTGATTCCCAGGGAAAACAAAAACATGATGCACTGTTAATGTGTGTAAATATATATTTTTTGAGCTTGAAATTTCAATCAAAGTGACGTTTTCATTAGCATAAGACCATTGGATACATCAATTTCTAGCAAAAGTACTCCAACATCCATAAAATGTGTCCAGACTGCAGTGAGTTGTCATGTTCTTTAAAACCTTTTTGGAAGGTGAGCTGTTTTTCCAAGTCACGTAAAGAACGCAAAAAAAGTTCAAGAAAATTAGCGAGCCATTTTAAAGCTCCACAAACAATTACTGCTACTTGGAGAGGAATGAGAGCTGAATGAAACCAGCTCAGAGGATACGTGTGTAACTCTATATGCTATTGCACTGAAGGTCACGATGACATATTCGAGCGTACGGAGGACTCTGCTATTCACTGATGCTGAAGGTTTAAGTCTGCGAAAATGTAAGATTATACACACCTTTCACACAAAGCATGAGATGAAGGTGGACATGAACTTTTTTTGGAAGTAATGAGCATATGTTGAGCTTGAAATTTAGTATTTTATCAACCTAGTAAGTCTAGTGTCAGCTGTAATATTATAACTTCCCCATACAGTCGCGCTGACAACGCAGTGTTAAGAAAATGTCCGTCTTCTTGTTTGCGGAAGTCATTAGAGTTGGGGTTCCCGATTAGAAATGTACACACACATATAGCACGCTTTATGCCATCCATCTAACGCCACATCTCTGCCAGGACCTACAACTAACCAGGTATGAAACGTCTACTTACATTTGAAGATGGAGCATTTTGATTTACATGTTTAAAGCCTAGAGTATACACTTGGCTGCCAAAGTCAACAGCAGCTGCCGCTCTTTTTTTCCCCAAATGGTTTAGCAGGACGTTAAACATTTTGACAAAATTATCTAACTTGCTTGACTCCACTGCTGCAGCCTCTGACCTCATTGCTAAATGTGTTTACCCTGGCTGAAATGGCCCATTTAGACTCCTTTTACTTCGCAAATACTAGTGTCATTTTCTGAAGCTAATATTAAAAAATATGCCAGTGAAAATACATCTAGCGGTCTCCGTTGTGTGAAGTTTGAGATGGAGGGAGGCAGAAGGGCCGAGGGGCTTAATGGGTGGCACTGGCACCTCAACGGCTTCATTTACGTGCTTTGTAGGTGACAGTTTTACAGTAAAATTAGGAATAGCCGATCCTGGTGTACCTTAATGGTAATGAGAAACAGGTTTGTATTAACGAGAGGATATAAAATTTTTTATATTTTTTATTGGAGTACGTTTATATTCACTACTGTTCAAAAATTTGGGGTTGGATTGTTTCTGAAAGAAGTCTTTTATGCTCGCCAAAGCTGCAATAATTTTTGCCAAAAATATGGAAAAACAGTAATACTGTAAAATATTATTATATTGCTCAAGAAAAATTTCTTATTATTATCAATGTTGAAAACATATATATTTTTATTTTTTTTATATTTTTTGTGGAAACCATGATGCACTACCATTCAAATGTTTAGGTTAAGAAAGATTAAAAAAAATAAATAAATGTAATAATTTTATTTATAAAGTGTCAGCAAAGACATTTATAATGTTACAAAAAATTAATTAAAAAAAATTAATAATAAAAAATAAATGCACTTTCCCCCCCTTTTTATCCATCAAAGAATCCTGAAAAATATACAGTATATCATGGTTTTCACAAAATATAATTAAAACAAATTAGCAGCAAAAACTGTTTTCAATACTGATAATAAGAACAATTATTAATAACTGAGCATCAGATTAGCATATTAGAAGGATTTCTGAAGGATCATTTGACCCTGAAAACCTTTTAATTTTTGTCATGACAGAAATAAAAGACAATTTAGAATATATTAAAATATATAACAGTTAGTTATAATATCACACAATACTACAGTTTTTACTGTATTTTTATTAAATAAATTGGT